ATTAAATTAAATTAAATTAAATTAAATTAAATTAAATTAAATTAAATAATTAAATTAAATTAAATTAAATTAAATTAAATTAAATTAATTAAATTAATAAAATTAAATTATTATTTATTAAAAATTATTTATTTTTTATTTTATATTTTTCCGGCCAAATTTTGCGGGGTGGGGGGGAGGGGGGGAAAAGCTCACCCGCCTCACGCCTACCTCTCCTCCTGCAAATTATTTATTTTTTATTAATTTTCCGGCCAAATTTTGCAGGGTGGGGGGGAGGGGGGGAAGAAAGCTCGCCCGCCTCACGCCTACCTCTCCTCCTGCAAATGCAGCAGTGGCGGCAGCGGTGGTGGGGGCAGCAGCAGCAGCGGCGGCGGCGGTGGTGGGGGCAGAAGCAGCAGCGGCGGTGGTGGCGGCGGGGGCAGAAGCAGCAGCGGCAGCAGCGGCAACGGGGGCAGAAGCAGCGGCAGCGGCGGGGGGGCAGAAGCAGCAGCGGTGGCGGGGGCAGAAGCAGCAGCGGTGGCGGCGGCAACAGCAGGAGGTGGCGGGGCGGGACTTTTGAGCTGCGGCTGCCCGCCTTTTCTGTTGCTCGCCTCGCCCCGCCTCGTGCCTACCTCTCCTCCTGCAAATGCAGCAGTGGTGGCGGCGGCGGTGGCAACAGCAGGAGGTGGCGGGGCGGGACTTTTGGGCTGCGGCTGTCCGCCTTTTCTGTTGCTCGCCTCGCCCCGCCTCGTGCCTGCCTCTCCTCCTCCTCCTCGCTGGATCTTTCATGAAGGTTGGGGTGGGCGTTGGGCCGCATTATGAGGCGACCTGGGCCGCATGCAGCCCATGGGCCGCGGGTTGGACAAGCCTGATTTAGTTTGTCAGCTGGAGTATCATTAGAGACATAAATACAAATGCAACCTTCAAAATGGATTGCCAGAGGCAATAGTTTCCTGCAAGTCAGTAGTCTTAGGGAGAAGAGACTCTGGCATTTCATCTGATGGATGGGATAGCACTTCAGAACTGCTCACAGGATTCCAAGAAACCCAAGTCCTCAGTGGAAACCTTTGGAGTGAAGAGCCCATTATGTGCATATGTGTGTTTTGCGGCCTTTGCTGATTTGCAAAATTCCAGGGCTGGTTCTACATCTTGTTTTTTTAATTATAGCACAAAAGGAGGAAGCGTTAACAAAAAATGTATTAAAAAGAGCCTACAGGTGTTTTAGTCCAGAAATCTCTTGGGCTTTTGTGTCTTTTTGCTCTCTGATATCATGGAATGAACACCCAGGGGGATTTGAGAATTAGCACTAAAGTAGCCATAAACCACTCCCTCCATTTTTTTCCCTTCTTCAACCAGTCATGGTAAGAAAAATGTTGGATGTAGAAAATTGGCAGTGGCAGTTCTTTTCTGCTTTATCTTTAAATTAACTGAGAAAGAATGTTGCCCAATAGTGGCAACGAAGACCATATTCATATTAGGTGGCACTTTTGCAGATTTCAGTTGTGCAATCCAAGAAGGAACTTTGCAAGCCCTCTTCATAACATTTTAGATCTATTTTCTTCTTAATCTTGACTAAAGGAATGTGATTCTTCTGATCACATTTTTTTCTGATTTTTAAGCTAATTATTCAAACTAATAGTAGTTTGAACTAAATCATATAGTATATTAGAAAATCTCCATAACAATTTTTACACAATATTAGGATTTTTCTGGGTTAAAGACACTGGCAATATGTGAAAAAACTTGTAATAATTTGGGAAGTATAAACATTTTTAAAGGTGCAGTTCTCCAAAATAGGTTTAATAAGTGCCTAACTAAGCTTGACCTTTAATTTTATAAACTAGAAATTATAATTTAGCATACCATTAGAAATATATCTTGGAAGTAACATTCCAAGATATTGTATGTCTATAGTGCAAATAATAAAGGAAGTTTTTTTTTCAACTCATTCTATCTTGAAAGCAATTATGATGAACAGAGCATTAGTCTTTTAAAAAATTATTGTAAATTTTGCTCCTTCCTTCCTCTTATTTTAGTATTTCCTCACTAACCAAAAGAAAATATTTGCTTAGTTTCGATAGCATCAAAGCCATGTGGGCAATCTATGGGGCTATGTTGTAAATATTTAAATTATTCTACAGTTCCAATTGGAGAGTCTTCACTAATATTACATAGAATAGAGGAACAAATGGGCAACTATATTTTGTTGCTATATTCAGTTCAAATAATTGGCCCTTACAACCACATTTGGTTCAAATACAGTTTTCAGATGATATTTATATGTTTAATTTATATTTTTCTAATGTCTTGAGCAAAATAGCCATTACAGTGTTGTGTGGAATGAACCATGCTATTAAAAGCTATAATAAAATTGGTTGGTCTGTGCTGAGCATGCCCAATAACCACAGCCAAAGAAGTTAATTAAGGGTGGCTTGTAGCTTTAGCATGTTTTTCAAATGCAGCTGATGTACAAAATGTCAATGGTATTGGGTGCTGACTTGATTATATGGCAGCTTGGAAATGTGTTCTTTCTTCTCCCAGATTTGTTTCTGCTTTGGTGAAGACATTCCTCACTTCTTTATCTTTAGAATCAGCTGTCTAAGGCAAATATAGAAGGGGTTTTCCTCTACACTCCTAGTATACTTAAAACTTGATTTTTTTCCTCCTCCAGGCAGTTGAATCCACCTATTGGCAAAAATTACATTGCCTCATGCAGTTATTATCTGTAATTTATTATTTGACTAACTCAGAAGAGCTTCTTTGCATTTATAGATAGATATTATTTATTTTTTTGTTTATTAAACTTTTTTGCCACCCATCTTCACACAAGATGACTCTTGTTCTGTTCTGTTTGGCTCTTTCTTTCCTTCCTTTCTGATCCATGTATGAAGATTATAATGATTTTCTGATTCTTACTAGAGTCTAGACAGTGGTAGATAAATGCAATTAAACAAAGATGAAAACAACTTTAATGAAAAATGACCACCATAGAAATAGCAACATCCATTCAAGGAAAGCCTGAAGGAAGCAACAGATTTTTACGTAGTATCTACTTGCCAAGTGGATGTCAGTGAAGGCATTCAAGAGAGCAGGTGTCAGCGTAGAGGTGAATGTAGAATACTCTTGATTCAGAGCAGGTTATTTTGAAGGCAGGAACCCTAAGACAAAAATTGTGAGCAGATGATTTGGGTCATCAACCTTTCTTGGGGACATTTTATATAAAGACTGAGGATGTGTGCAGCGACAGATGATAAGGGATGGGAGGTGAGGCCACTATTAATGTGCCTGCTAGCTATCAGCGTTTGGGGCAAGTGTTTATGCACCGGAAGGCAAGCCTTGCATGTTAGAGCTAGTGTCTATAGGTAGCAGATAGGTTCTAAAATGGTGAGGAATGGTTTCAATTTGCTACCTTTAGAAGCATTTATTTGAAGACAGATAATTCACTTTCCTTGACATGGAATGTCTGTCTGATCTTAGCCAAGATTTTTACATTTTGCATTTGTCAAATTATAAGTGGTAACATTGCGGTTGTTTTGCATTACAGGTGACTCCCAGGATACAAATCCTACAGAAAGCAAATCTGGTGCTGATGTAAGGCTGATACAAAGAAGCAGTTTTTCTTATTCAGCTGGACACCCATTTTTTGAATACCTGGTTGTAGTCTCACTTAAAAAGGACATAAAGGGAAATTATGAGCCCAAGATTACCTATCAATTTCCAAAGGTAAGGAATTGAACATAATGATTTCATCATGTGTAAAAATTAGAACATTTCAAGGAGCCCCTTTCAGATATTCCTCAGAGATAAATATGTGCAAAACCTAGAGCAACAATCATGGCTGGCTGTGCTCCAATTTCATTTCATCTGGTGTTCTCTCTCCACTCCTTTTTAACATTTATATGAAGCTTCTGGGTGTGATTATCCATCACCATGGGATAAGCTATCATGAGTATGTGGATGATACTTACTGGTACATCTCAATAAGTGATGCTGTCCATCCTTTTGCTGTGCTTTGGAGTATACCAATGAGTTGAAGGAGATGAAATGGTTCAAGAGATGCCTAGAGCAGTGCTGAAGGACAACATGGTGTAAATCCAAATTAGAACCTGCTATTAGGGCCTACCTCGAGGCATTAAGGTAGAGGGGTTAATTTACGTCAGAGCTTCTAGATAGCTAAAATCAAGAAACCTTTTACAGGACAACTTGTAGTAGACATAGTTAGAGAAGAAGGCACCAAGATTGCAGTGGCCAGACAGTTTGTCTTATTTGAGACTACATGAAATATATCTGTTTCCCTAACAAAAAAAGTGCATGCATGTCTGCTAAAGTTTAGATTGTGTTGGTCTAATTGTGTGTTTCCCCAAAGTAATCCTCTCCTTAGCTAGAATCTGTGTCCTTTATTTTCTACTAGCCGATAATCCAGCGTTGCCCAGGTATTTGTTTATCCCAATCCTGTATTACAGGGATCCCCAACCTTTTCGACGCCGCGGCCCGGTTCCGACATCAGCTGGGCGCCGCGGCCCGGTACCGGCGTCAACTGGGCGCCGCCATCTTTTTATGACGAAACAGCGCTTCCGGTGAGCTTTCTACCCGGAAAAGCTCACCAGAAGCGCTTTTTTACCAAAAAAGAAGATGGCGGCGCCCAGCAACCAGCGGCCCGGTAAGGCTTGTTCCGCGGCCCGGTACCGGTCCGCGGACCGGCGGTTGGGGACCCCTGCTGTATTAGACAGAAAAATCCTGTAGTCGGGACTCACACTGTTGTACTGTCACACAAGTCTTCTATTTCTCCACAAGAGGGAGCTCTGTGAAGCCGTTACCATGGCAGAAGCCATTTAAGGCAGTGGTCCCCAACCTTTTTTATGCTGCGGCCCGGTACCGGCATCAGCTGGGCGCCGCCATCTTGTTTTGATGAAAAAGTGCTTCCGGTGAGCTTTCTACCCGGAAAAGCTCACCGGAAGCACTTTTTCATCAAAACAAGATGGCGGCGCCCAGCAAACCAGCGGCCCGGTAGGATTTGTTCCACGGCCCGGTACCGGTCCGTGGACCGGTGGTTGGGGACCCCTGATTTAAGGCACACACACACCCCAAGGGATATTAGGGGTGGCTTACCTCCACAGTATTGTTTCCAAAGGGTAAGTCATCTGTGTACCAAGTTTGGTTGAAATTGCTCGAGGCATTCCAGAGTTATGCTAGCATATATATACATATATATATAGAGAAGATAAGAATAGAATAGAAGAAGATAGAAGATAAAAGAAGAAGAAGAAGAAGAGGAAGAGGGTGATTTTTGATCATCTGGGCCTCATCTTTTCTTTTGCTTGATGGCTTTGCTTCATATGGCTCCCTTTCATAGTGCAGCAGTTTTATTTTATTTGACTATATATTTTCATCACTCAGCCTATGTAGCAAGGGGAAGTATATGATTGATTCTTAAGAAAAGCATAAAGGTCTACCTTGCCTTTGTGCAACTTGCTGTGAATGGACACAAGTCACCAAAACTACCAGATGTGAATACAAGATGCTTACGATGCAATCTGCTGTACCACTGCTCTTTCATTCCTGAGCAGGTGCTCTTAAACTTCTTACTACAGGTATGGCCTTGCTCCTAAGACATTCTGTGGAGGCATCAAATACAGCATTTCTCACTTAGATTAATAATCAAAGTAGAAGCCTTTCCCTATTATTGAGCTGAAATGCAACTCATCCACCTTTCAACTGGCAGAAAGTATAACACAGTTTAGTTTTTTCATTGTCGAACCTGCTCTGCTTCTTTTGTTTCTTTTCACATTGCTGCAGTTATCTGATTTCTTTTTAAAGTAAGGAGTGGCAACGTCTAATGGATTTTATATATCTTAAAGCTGTCCTTGGACAAAGGTGGAGTAATAAGGAAAATTACTGCCAATTTACCTCAAGGGCTGAGGTAAAACACAATAAGGGAAAATATTAAAGGGATCCTAAAAAGATATTGCTAGACATCTTTGTGCTGTGGTTAGCTGCAAATGGGGAAATCCTTAGATCTGTTTACATTCTGATGAGGAAGAAGTTTCTTTAAATGAGGTTCTGCTTCATGATTGTATGTGCATAGAAGGAAAGGTATGTAGGAGCACATCTACATTGCTGCAAGTCCTTTACTGTTTTTTTCCTTTTGTAAAATCCTGCTTAGTGTTGAGCAGCAACCAGATTGTATGCGTATGGGGTCTAGGAAGCTGTTTACAGAATCAGTCTGTCAAAGTAGTACTGTTTATTCTGACTAGAAGCAGCTTTCAGATCTTTCCTGATTACCTTCTATGTCAGAGGCCCACTGTCTGAGAATTGGGATTACATATATCCTCCAGAAGGTCACATGGAAGTGACCTTCATGAGCTTCCAAACACTAAAATCAGATTGTAATTTTTAACATGACAGAAGGAGAAAGTTATTAAATATTACATTAGTGTATTTAATTAATGTTTGATATTTATTTGGAAGTGCCAGAGTGTGAATTGGATTTTTTGCCCCAAAAACATCTTTACCACTGAGGAAGGAGTCTAAAAATATAATACCAGCTTTTGTTTCTTCTTGGGACAATCATATTTTTAAAGACACACCAGTATTCATTATATTGAGATTAAAAATATTTTCTTGCTGAATCCTGCATTTGGAAAAAAAGTTATAAAAATGATTGTTGGATGTCACTTGACAATGTAAAAAGTGATTTATTAATATTATCTTAATTATTTTACAAGCATACCCATCATTTTGAGAACAATAATTCTAATATGTACAATATATGTAATTATCTGTTTAAAAGAACTGAAAGTTTTGTTTCTGAGATTAGCCCTGACAAAAGTGAATGACCTTGAGCCTTGTTTCAAGTCTCCAGAGATAGTTATACATGAGTACACATACCATACACAATTAAATGTGAGTCTCTAAGTAAAGTGATGTTAGAGGACTCTTCTTTACTTGTGGTTTTCACTTTTGCATCTCTAACAAACCCAGACACTGTTGTTTTTTTTAAGTCATAAGGAAAGTATTAGTCTGGTGTAGTGATTAAGGCATCAGGCTAAAAACTGGGAGAGCGTGAATTCTAATTCTGCCTTAGATGCAAGGCCAGTTGGGTCACCTTCCACCAGTTACTTTATCTCAGCCCTAGAAAGCAGGCAATGGCAAGCCATTTCCAAAATCTTGCCAGAACTACACGGACTTGTCCAGGCACTTGTCAGGAATCAACACTGAATCAAAAGTACAGATGCAAAAAGGTTTCTCTCACAACTTTATTCTATCTACTTTCTCCTTTGTGATTCAGCGTGAGAATCTACTGAGAGGACAGCGTGAAGAAGAGGAAAGGTTGCTTCAGGCCATTCCCTTGTTCTGCTTCCCGAATGGTAATGAATGGGCACCCCTCATGGAGTATAAGAGGTAACTGTCCTGGGACAGAGTATACAGCAAGGTTGTAGGACTGTCTTACGAGAGACAAGGATACCCTAATGTTGAATGCCATGAAAACAAAAGCAAACAAAAACAAAGTTCACGTTTTTCTCATTTCTACATAATAATCAGTCCAGAACTGTTGTACCTTTATTCCACTCAGTGTAAAGTACAAAGCAATTTAAACAAGTACCATTTGTTTACTCAAGTATCATACGTTAGTGTAATAAACGTATGATACTTGAGTAAACAAATGGTACTTGTTTAAATTGCTTTGTACTTTAAATCGGTATCTCTTCCTTCCCTTTTTAGGGAGAATTATTATACTTGAGTTTTCTAGTACAGCTTGTTTGAGAAAATTTACCTGACAGGTTATTCAGCCAGCAAATACGGCAACTTTTCCACTCTTGTTTTTGAAGATATTCAGCCAAATGCTAATTTGGTGGCTTCCTGTATGTAGTAAATAGAGTGATCTGAATCCCTGAGTACAAATGGCACTTTGGAGGAAAAAAAGGCTGCAATCTTATGTTCAGGAGTAGCACTTTAGATGATCTGCAACCCCACCCAAAGATGCCGACAGAGAGGAAATAGGCTGTTTTAATGGAATTTTATTTTAAGTACGCTTATTCCTATTGTTTTGTTTCAAGGGAGCATTTTAAAATGAATTTTATTGAATAGTTTTGTGACTAAATGTTTTCTGGTGTTTTTTTGTAAATAGATGGTTTTTCATGCTTTTTTGTATACTGCTCTGGGTACTACAAAGGGAATTAGAATTGCTAATTACAATAAGTTAATGTTCCTAGAGTTTTCTTTTTCTGGGCTTTAAGTATACATGGTTGGTAAAGCCATACCAATCTCCTGACTCTGCAGATAGGCTTAACAATCTTTACAATCCATCAGAATGGCCTTCTTGGGAAATGTTGGTACTTATGGTAGTCCCAATAGATTTTGGATTTCAAAGCAGATTTTCTTTTTCTTTTTAAATTTCAGTAGCCCTGTCTAAAATAAACACTGTACAGGATACCCTTTTTTGTATAATTTCTATGCAATGTTTTGCAAAATATTTATAAAGATTATAAATATTGACTATTTTTATATTTTGTTATTTTTATAAATTTTATACATATTTTGCTGCTGACATCCTATCCCATTACCTAGAGGCTATGAGAGCCTAAATGGGGAATAACAGGCTTCAACTGAACCCTGGCAAGAGTGAGTGACTCTGGGTTTTGCAGCTCTCTGGTTTAAGGGCCATCTTTGGTATTGAATGGAAGTGCTCCAAGCATACCTAGTGTGCAGAATGGACAGCCTTCATGACTCCTGCTCAAAGAACAGTTGGCAGTTGTGGCTAGGACAGCCTTTGCACAGCTTCGTATTGTTACTATTTGTGCCTATTCCCAGGTCAGGAAGCTCTCCTCACTGTCACTTGGTCACCTCCCACATAGCCTATTGCAACACACACTATAAGAGGCTACTTTGAAGAGTATTCTGAAGCATCACCTGGTTGAAAATGTGGTGGCACAGGAAGTTATGCGTGCCTCTAGAATGGCATGTTATGCTCTGCTCTGTGAGCTGCATTAGATGCTTGTTTGCTTTGGAAATCAATTCAAGATACACTTTAAAACTCTTCACGGCATGGGACCGAGTTCATTACATTTGCCCATTAACATTAAGTGCAGCAGAGGAGGTATGCTACAGGGCCTCACTGTGAAGGACTTTGGAATCAGGTCTTTTCTGCTGTGAACACTATTTCCCTTGAGGTGGCATTGTTCCACAAGTTCCTTAAAACATGGTTGTGTCATCAGGCTTGGGAATCTCAGAGAAGAGGCAAATTAGTGAACTGGTTATATTGCCTATCATGATAGTTCTATCTGCTACTCAGTCATTGGCAACTTTGACTGGTGTTTTTAATTTAATTTTTTTTTAATTTTTAGATTTCATTGTACACTGTTCAGAGTCATGTTCTGTGAGACAGGGAGCTATATAAATATGATAAACTAACGAATAAAACTAGTAACATTCTATGCCTTTTATTCTTTACAGTGAAACGTTTTCTTTTGTCCTTACCAATATTGATGGGAGTAGAAAAATTGGCTACTGCAGGAGACTGTTGGTGAATATTTCCTCTTTTAACTTTATTGTTTTGAAAAACAATATTTGGCTTTTTAGTTAAAGAGTTTATTTGACTGAGGTTTTGGATCAATTGAGGCAATACATTCCATGCAGTCATATCTTTCCATATAATAAATAATTCTTTAAAATGCCAGAAAAATAAATACATTTCATCATGATAAAAAAATATTATTGTCCACAAGCTCCATAACCTTCCATAATCCACAGTTATGGGATTTCTAGTCCAACAATCTGAAAGATACCACATTGGAGAAGATAGAGTAATCTCACATTTAAAGCTTGAGCAGACTATTCTTAGGAAGAATATTTGGCTTCTGACCATTCCTGTATGCTCAGAACCCATGTTAGATCACAGATGTTATTGAGCACATGGATACAGAATTGGAAAAAGAATGTTTGTTATCTCCTGTCATGCACTGAATTAATTATGACAGTGGTGCCCACATTTTGTTAGTATGACTAGGCCAGCATTTTTGCAATGAAAGATCTGTATTTTAGATTCTCTGTTCCTAAAATGTAAAAGTAGTAATATCCAACTTCAGAGAACTTGATTTATTTGGGGAATAAATACAAACCCTATATTGAAAAATACAAGACAGAAAAGTAGCTTTTCTCCACTCTGGCAAACATACCTTTTATGGCCCTGACGGAACTGAAATTATGTTCCAAAGTTCAGGGCAATCTTAGATAAGAATAACACTAGGGTTACTGCACCAAAAAGAATTTATATCATTGGTCTTTTATTACTCATAGCTTTATTAATAACCAAAGAGTAAATGAGAAATGGCTATCTTTTGCAAACATGGAGAGGAAAGATAAATGGAGGGGAAAGGTTGAAAAAAATCAGACTGGTGGATTGGAAGAGATAGAGTATTAATAATGATTCCTTGAGACAGCCTGCTATAATTTCTGGCTGAGTACTATTGGAGTGAAGTGATTGTTTTTTTTTTTTTTTGTAAATGCATATTTTTCTTTAATTCTATGCTTCAGATAAAATAAGAGAAAAAATAAAGAGAGAGAAAGTGAAGGAAGAACAGAGACAAAAGATGTTTTTAGAAAATCAAGAATGGACTGATTATCACAAAGCACTATGGTAGAATCTGACTGTCCTTGACTCAGGGCTAATTTGGACCAAAGATAGTTGCATTTGAGGAATATGCTACCTCCTCTTTACACATAGGCTGGAGGATTCAGGAATAACGATTGATTCGGATACTTGGAGTAAATACCCTTTGATGAGAAAGTAGATCAATCACTCTGGAACAGCCATGCCTATTGTATTTTCTCTGGAAACTTAGCAAGAAACTACAGGTGATGAACAATGTGTGGTTTTTAAAGTCAGGATGTAGAACAAGGTTCCAAAGAAATAGTTTATGTTAGGAAACATAAGAAACATAAGAAAGGATCCAAAAATGCAAGTTTTTTTAAAAAATGTTAAAGCTCATACTATCTCATCTACAAACTTATTGATTGTCCCATGAGAGGCAGTAGTTGATTTCTTTGCTAATTTCTTGATAGTTTCCTCAACTGGGAAGTAAGTTTTAAATACTGTAAAGGTAAAAGTAAAGGTTCCCCTCGCTAGTCATTTCCAGCTCTAAGGAGCGGTGCTCATCTCCATTACAAAGCTGAAGACCCAGCGCTGTCCAAAGACATCTCCGTGGTCATGTGGTCGGCATGACTAAATGCTGAAGGCGCACGGAACGCTGTTACCTTCCGACCAAAGTGGTCCCTATTTTTCTACTTGCATTTTTACATGCTTTCGAACTGCTAGGTTGGCAGAAGCTGGGACAAGTAACGGGAGCTCACTCTGTTATATGGTGCTAGGGATTTGAACTGCCGAACTGCCAACCTTTCTGATCGACAAGCTCAGTTCAATACTGTAGGACAGGCTTATAGAAGGTTTTCATGTCTCAAACTGAAGTAGATAATTTGGTAGCTATTTTGAACAGTTGTAAAGACTTGTGGATGTGGCTGTGTGTGGACATCCTAGGGATGAGGAGGTGCTTGATGTGGCTAGGATTGATGTTCTGCTTGGTTGCAGTTGGCCCAGCAAATGTACCATGGAATCACCCCCTTCATCCGGTTGCTGGAGTCAGCACTTGTGATGCAGTGCTGTTTTAGCTCAGCAGGAGATCAGAAACCTGGCTTCCACAATCAATTAATAGGCTGTATTTTGAAATGCAGAACAATTTATCCATCCATGACATATAGCAAAAATCCTTTCTCAGATCTTCCATAATATTTATATTGTACAGTAGGTGGCAGCTTCCCGCCAACAGAAGACAGTAAAGAAATGCAACTAAATCTTTGCTGCCATCTAGTATCAGTTGCTTCGTTGGTAGATTGATTACCAACAATCAACAATTTAAGAAAGTCCCAAAGGTGCTTTTTCAAAAGGCAACTGGACTTCCTTTGTTTTGCTTTAAAACGTTTCACTTCTCATCCAAGAAGCTTCAAGCAAAACAAAGTCCAGTTACCTTTTGAAAAAAAGTTCCTGTGGGATAACCATGACCTGGAAAACTGAATTTCCATAGAAATTTAAGAAATCACTTTTTTGCTGCCATCTAGTGACCATTAGGTGAATGGATTGGAAGTCCTTTGGGGGAAAACATTATTGGATGCAGTGCCCAAGTACTGGCCTTCTAAGAACCATTGACACATTCTGCATGGCAGCTGAAGAAATGTTTTCCTACATTTGGTGATGTCGGAAAATCTCGTAGTGTCATGTGCTTGAACTGTATAGCGATTTCACATGTGTGGCAAAGGTAAATTATGGAAGCAGCAACATTTGTGTGTTGGGTCCTTCCAGGCGCCTAGTCAGGAAGAAAGAGTGAGAAAGACATTAGAATATAAAATATTTTTTTGCAGGTAGGGTGTTCCTGGATACTGAAAAGATATGCAGAGTTAGGGACAAGTAGTAGAATCTGAGTTCTTTCATTCTAGCCATTGTCTATCTATTGCAGGATGAAGACGCCTTCCACATGCTTCCAACCAATGCGGTCTTGATCTTTCTTTTGCCATTTGGGCCAGTAATACTTGCTGATGTGGTAGCTCTATCTTGTTTTAGGTCTCTTTCATGGATGCTTTTTATCAAGTGGGATCCATCTATGACTACCTTAGTCCACCTGCCATTAGTTCTTCTTGCTATGTGACCAGCCCATTTCCATTTCAATTCTTTTATTCTCTTGATGCTGTCGTATACTTTAGTTTGCATCTGAGTTACATCGCTCCATTTGCAGGTGGGCTCTAGGACTCTTGACTTCCACATATAGTACACAAACTTGTAATCCAAGTTTATCCTTTTCGTTTTTTTCCCTTGTACCTGCCTCATACATAACAATGTGTTTTTATATAGAGATCTGTGAGGTAGTTTTTAGAACATTTTACCACAATTTAGAAACTGAAGCCAGTTGTGGCTTCATTTTTAATAAGTGGATGTGTTAACAGGTAGTCTGAACAGGAGTCATATGTCCTATGATTCATAGAGTTCAGTGAAAAAAACAATGTAAAACACAGGTGGCAGCTGAGTGTACAGTTCCCTCTTCTCATCCTGTCAGCAGCTCACTCCACCCTGCTTTCACCAGCTTAGTTTCTCCTTTCATTTCTTATTTTTCACATCACTCCCTCACAATCTTTAAGTTCTTTTGTCATAAAGAAGACCTGTTTCTCACATGTTTCTTTTATTGCTTCTTGGAGTTTGCTTAATCTTTAGATATTTACAGAAGACAGACTTTGAAATGATCTCTCTGGGAAAAAAAAAATCAAAGAAACTTTTTGTTTTGTTTTATAGCTATCATTTTGCATAGATTGGCTTACTGTCCATGTATTAATTTTAGAGATGTAATCAGAAAAAAGTTAAGACAAAGTTGCAGTGCATTACTTTGCAGATTCTTCCAAACTCTTTAAAAAAGCTCAGATGATTAGGAAGAAAGAGGAGGGGGGGGCTTAGAATGGAGAAGTCAGCAACATTCTGAGCAGCTGCCCAGCATTCTGTCCCATCAACTCCCAGAATTCCTCAGCCAGCAAAGCTGGCTGAGGAATTCTGGGAGTTGAAGTCCACAGGTCTTAAAGTTGCCAAGGTTGGAGACCTCTGCATAGGACACAGCTGCAGCATCTATTGGGCTGGAAATGGTAAATCTCAGAAGCTCCTTCTTGCACAATGAATAAATTAAAAGTAAATAGTAATTTTATATGGTCTTAGGCAACAGTTTACCGAATGAATGGGATATCACGATATAAACATAAATAAGACAAATTGCAAAGTATCTCCCAATTAATGTAGTGTATTAAATAACAGTTTCAGCCCGAGAGCAAACTTCTGTTAATGAGTAAGCTGCCATGATTCAAGACTTTAACTACATAATATATATATTATGTATGTATATGTATGGTGCAGTGGGACTGGCTCAGTGCCAACAAATAGAACCTTACTCTCCCTGTCCTGCAACTATGTGGGGCACAAAATCCAAAAAGGATTAAATTATTTGCACACTTGAAGGGCTGTGTAATAATTAACAGAAACCGCTTCTGAACCAAGGTGAACATTTTTTAAGCTTTGACCTTAAGCTGAGGAAAAGGTCTCACAATCCTTTAGCTCCAATGGTATTTGTTATAAATATTTCAATTGTAGGGGTTTAGAAGAAAGGCATCAAATAAAATATTGGGACAAGCTAAGCAGGACCACTCTTTGGGTCCATTTAGGTTGAACAGGCATTCCTGTAAAGATGCAGCTTTAAGATCTTCTTCCCATACCCAGTCTTCCCTGCTTTTCTTTTAGTATTTTTTTCCACTGGGAGAAAAATTGTTAATATAGTGCTTGAGTTCCTGAAAATGTTATTCTTTAAGATTGATGTTTCATAGGAATTTAGCATGGCCAGGATTGAGATATGCTAACATCACGACTGGTGATGTGGCTGGGATGCAGATAACAGATAATAGATAATCAGAGTTGGAAGAGACCTTGTAGGTCATCTAGTCCAACCCCCTGCCCAAGCAGGAGACCCTACATCATTTCTGCTCCAGAGTCAGAACCAAGTTATGTCCTCATTCAGTGCCTTTCTTGAAAGGGGAAGAGTAATAGGCAGTACACACCTTTCTTCATAAGATGATATTAGGTTGCAGTTTAGATTCTTTGAGTGGGATATATCTGCCTTTTTCTATTTAAAAATCTCATATCAAAATCATCATATTTCCAAAGTAATAGTGGGATGGAACAGATAGTTTTGAAGCTAATTTTTGTCATAAATTTTTTTCTTGGAAGAAATACACAGTGGAGTGGAGTCCTTGGTTCTCTCTGAGCTTAGTTGTTTTCATGAAGATATTTCGTTATCTGGCTAGATAACATCTTCAGTAAGTACAGAGCTATACAGTTCAAGTTGTTCAGGTCTGAGCTGTATTTAGTAAGAAACTCTAGTTAATTGAACTGGCTTGTGAACAATCAGCATTTTTTGTTTGGTTTACTGTAGGTAAATTGGACTCCTTCCTGCTTTTAAATCCAATTTGCACAATCTGTAGAAGATTGTAATAAAGAAAATCATCCAGGAATGTCTGTTTCTTATGTTCTATATTTAATGAGATATTAAGAAAGGGAGTGAATCAGGGCACTTCAATAGCCACGACACTGATCTGGAGCATGGGTTATTTGTTTTTCATACTGAATGATATATATGTTTATAAAAACCTGACTCATAGTAAAGGACAGATGTAATCCTGACTTCACAAAGGGCATTTTATAAACCAGCTTATTTATTTGGCCACTCTGAAATCAAGAAAATAAGTTTTGGATGTTTGAACTTGCCTGTAATTTATGCCAGTACTCAAACTTCTACATTATGCAATCCTCTCAGTCATCTTTAAAAGCTTTAGAAGACCATCTTATAGCCTAGAGGTCAGCAAGGCAATGCCTGCAGGTTCCATAGCGCAAATAACCCTTTTTGATAGCCCATGGAATCTCAAAATGGAATGGAATGCTTTTGAATGAGAAAGTCAAAGCCATATAAAATCTGGTAACATTACCATATACTTGCCTGAAAGATTCCAAGATTTGAAGTTAAAAAACCAAATTTTCCCAGATTTCCCAAGTTTTAGCCATATGCATATGGAGTTACACCAGAAACTATCAACATTATTTTGGAATGCCATTGTAACCTAGATCAAAAGTTGGGAACTTAGTTAAGCAAATATATTTGCTACTATAATGGTTTTTTATATTTCCATAATATAGATGTGTAATTTAATAGTGACATTTAATTTTAATTTAAAAAGGAAATTTAATGGTGATTTTTTCCCCCTCTACTTAACACTGCTTTTCAGCCTTCTGGACGAGATCCTCGACTCCCTGAAGTTTATTGCATTGTAAGCTGTCTTGGTTGCTTTGGACTATTTTCAAAGGTATGTTTTCTGAGTAGTCTGTTCCATAAAATACGAAATACCTTTGTCAGGTAGCATAGGCAGGAATAAATGTTCTGCTGTTCCTAATATCATAATCATTATAAGATTAGCTTTCTATATTTTTCTTCATCAGATCTTTCACAGAAAAAAGGAAAGGAAAGAAAGGTAGGTCCCTCATCCCAGATATTTGAGAATTGGCTGTGGCTACTGATAGAGATATATTTTGTTCATTTAGAGGATTTTCACCATTATTAGAATGAAAAAGCAATATAGCATTTTAATTGAAATATAGAAGAGAGTAGCTCAGGTCAGATAATTCAACTATTTTGAATTACTTGTTGTACAAATGAATAATACAAGAATCTTTGAGCTAAATTTAAAATGTCACTTCAATCGTAGTTTTCAATTCCAGATATAACTGAATTAACTATGTCTTGTCAAATTAGCTTCCTCTTGTGAAAGGAGAATGAAAATAACTGGATCCATGTAGGTTCTTCAAGCTTGGCTTATCCATTATCTATCGTTGTTATTATTTCTTGACCTTTGGTCCTTACACCTTGGTTCTGAGGATGAAATGCATTTGAAGGAGACATATGATTCAGGAGGAGATGATATCAGGACTTGCTTATCACATTACTTTGCTTAAGACTCAGTTGGTTTTGAATAATTTCAGGAGGAGGAAAGCCACTATCAAGAGTTGAGTTGGGAAGCTGAAAAATGATGGGTATCCTTTTTCCTCTTATAGATTTTGGATGAAGTAGAGAAGAGGCGACAGATCTCTGCAGCAGTCGTTTACCCCTTTATGCAGGGCCTACGTGAATCTCCCTTCCCAGCACCAGGAAGAACGGTTACCATTAAAAGCTTCATCCCCGAATCCGGAACAGAGGTGTGTGCCTATTTGAAATACCTTTGGCTGATTTTAACATGACTTTTAATTAAATGTAATTATGTTAAGCAAACGTATAAGCCAATACCTCCTAACACGTTTTAAGAAAAACAATTGAACGTCCATAGAATTAATACCATTTGTTTGATTAATAGCAAGGAATAACCTGTAAAAAGTCTGAGTTGACAAGACTGACCTCTATTTGAGAGAGTGTCTATCAGTAATGTTATACCTTCCATATGTTTGCCCATGCCCAATCCATAATAAATTGTTTACAAATATCTAGGGTAGTTTCTCTAATTATTATTTTTGCCTGAATGTATTCCACAAGGAGCATAATAGATAAGTGTCATCTAAATTGCCGGTTATTCCAAGGATTGAAATTGATCTCCTAGGACTATTGCAATCAGGAAAAAATGGCATTTAAGCCAATTAGGGAGTATTAAGAACCTTGTCTTCAGCTCCACTTTTGGTTGTTCTGCTTCTATTTTAAAAGGCACATTAAGTATGCATCAAGGCACCTAGAAAAGTTTTCTCCAAAACTTTGTAGCTCCAAGTGATTTATAATGAATAAAGAAACACAATCCTGGTCAGTACCAGAAAGTATTTGGATCATAGGTTTTGGTATGTGGAATTTCAGAGCTGCTTGCTTGCAGTCTCTACCTTTTACCTGGATAAATTTCGCTATGGCTCTTGCATTCTTTTGTACTTATAAAACAACATATGCATCTTTCAAGCAATTGTGGCCTGGAGAACTATCCCTGAATATTCAAAACATTTCATGCTATTTAATTTTCATCCCCTTGATAAGCTATTTAAATCTTTTAGGTTTCCTGGCAAGAACAACCATTTTCTGGTCATTAATTACTAGCAGATGCTTTTACAGTAAGGGGTAAAAGATCTGAATGTAGAGCTACATCATTAGTATACAGAAGAACAGAATATCCATTCATGTAATCTTGGGAGTGGAAACCTGAATTCAATAATCTACTTGCTAAGGTTTAAACAAATATTAAATAGGGTGGGGGCTAAAGAATTGTATCTAATTCCCTTTCAGATAGAGATTGGATTAGTCAAAATATTTAACGGATTACTCCTAATTCTTTACAAAAACATGCCAGATTCAGTTTGCAATTCTGCCTTAAGTATCTTTGTTTAAGAAATATCATGGTCTATGCTTGTCCTGATTCTCCAGATCTTTGAGGGATGGATTTGGTAATTGGTGATTGGTAACTGATGGAGACAAATCTTTTAAAAAAACTAGAACATGTTTTACTGTCCAGTATGATTTCCAGACATAAGTGAGGTTCCTGTGCAATTAATAGTTGTTAGGGAGATTCGGTTTTTGTCCTCCTTATCACAGCACAAGAATACACCACAAAACACAGACTTTCCTTACTCCGTTGCATTGTCTTCTGTATGATTTGCTACACTGACTTCCTGTTTTGGTATTTAGAGTTTGCTCTCTGTCAACTATCAGAGGGTGACATTTTGGTATTTGGTTTCCTGACTTGCTCAGTGCTTCGTGCAACCGGAGGAGTTTGATGGGGTGTGCAGTACATATTCTTCAAAAGCATCTGTATCTTTCCATTAGCCTTATATGGGCATAGAAAATGTCTTTGTACCAGCCTCATGTTGAACTGACTTTCTGGGAAAACAGATTATTTTAACCATTCTACTGCACCAATACAATAGCAAAAGCCTGAAAATTTGGGCAAGCTTTAAAGAATAATGGAGAGGGGAGCTGCTCAAGAAGAAGTGGAAAATTCCCCTTCCAAATCTTTTTCAGATTATACATATGAATCCCTATGTATATAAAAAAGTTGATAGAATGACTAATTTTGTAAATGCATGGCTCTTTCCTGGGCTAAAATAAATATAGTTGGTGGCTCTACCCTAGTGTGGTTTGTTTCAATAGTATGAACATAATAGTCACTATGTTTTTGCAAACTGTAGTCCATAATTTAGTCTTATTAATTTGTCTAGAATAGTATAGAGTCTCTTGCTTGTGTGTGGGGTTGGACTAGAAGACCTCCAAGGTCCCGTCCAACTCTGTTATTCTGTTATGTTGTGCTATAGTGTATGAATATAATAATGTCCCTCTTCCACATGTGCTTCTGTACTCCCATCTTCTCTTGCATAACTACAAGGAGGTGACGAATACTTATTTCTTAACTGATCTGGATTACAGCTGAATGCAGTGACTGTTGTGAGGGCTGAGGCTAGAATGATTAATTTCCAAGCTGGAAATGACCATTATATAAGTATGTAATAATTACTCAATATTAGTACTAAGGCGTGTTCTAAATACACATTTATTCATAAAGGCAAGAAGAAGACATAAGTTTAAATCCAAAAGCAATAAAAGTCATTTACAACTTCTCACTGGCAGTGGGCAATCAAGAGTGAGCATAGCTTCATTCTTACCCTCAATAAACATTTCAGGTCTTTGAATTTCTGCCACACTTGGCTGAAGAGTTGAGCTAAGTCACAAAATTCCAGGAGATCCATGATTTATTGCAGAGCCAGTCAGGATAGCCTGACAGATATTGAGAAAGAGAGTTATGTTTGTTTATGGTATGGTAGTCAAAAATCAGAAGGGTCTAGTTAGTAGTATCTTTTCCAACTCAGAATTGTGTTAAATTGCATAAGCTTTTGTTAGCCACAATTCTCTTCATCAACTCACTGAGGCACCTGATAAAGTGAGATAATTCTTGACCGCTTATGAAAATATATGCTTTTTAGTAAAGTGTTGGTCTGAAAAGGTGCTATCAGGTGCTTCCATTTAAAAAAACACTTGTTAATTTAAACAGTGGCTTATTTGAGCCAAGGAGAATAAACATTTATATGAAAAAATATTTTAGACTTACCAGAGTTGCCCCAAATTTATACATAATTTAGAACTCAGGCATAGCACAGGCAAATATGAGATCCTGCAGCTTGTTACATTTACCTCATTGCATTAAGCCATATTTTAGCATTGCCTCCTATTTTAGGTATTAAGGGTGTAATTACAGTTGCCATAACCATTTATTCAGAACTGTAAAAACGATGAATCTTAATCCCAGTAAAAATTATTTTTTAGACAAGCGGTATTCAACCATGATTACCATGTTAACTTTATCCTGTTGTCATATTTTTAGCAAATTGAGCTGACCCGACCATTGGATTCTCACCTGGAGCATGTGGAATTTCAGGCCCTTTTAAAGTGCCTCAGTCCTGAGAAGATACTTCTGATATTTGCCTCTGTAGTTCTGGAGAGACGGATAGTCTTCCTGGCTGATGAGCTTAGGTAAACACTAAGCCTAAGGAAACAATTTTATGCTTGTCCCATTGAAGTCAACAAGTCAGCTGTGTTTCACCAGTCAGTAGGACCAGAGCATAGCATTTACTCTGGATTAGGTTTCCATTTTATAACTTTCTATTATTTTGATTTATTCATTTGTGAAATGTCCATATGGCAGATGGAGAAATACATACAGTTTTTCTTTTTATATGTATAACATAAATATTTTGATATGACCTGGTATTTGGGACATTAGAAGGTTAGAAGGTTAGGTTAGACAGAATATTCTTTATTGACATATTCTTTATTGGCCAAGTGTGATTGGGCGCACAAAAGAATTTGTCTCCGGCGCATTAGCACTCAATGTACATACAAACAACAAAGTATAAATCATAAGATACAATCACAATTCATTAGATACAAACAACAAAGTGATAAATCGTAAGATATCAATAGGAAAAGGCATAGAAAAGATGAGAAGAATAATAGCAATACAGCTGTACTATATGGGTAAATATCCTAAGACAGCACTGTGGGAATTAGGTGTTTAGCAGAGAAATGGCATGGGGAAAAACAGTCTTTGTGTCTAATTATTTTGTTATGCGATGCCCTATATTGTGAGGGGAGGAATTGAAATGGTTTATATCCAGGATGTGAGGTGTCTGTAGATATTTCCTGAGCCCTCTTTCTGGCTCGTGCAGTATACAGGTCCTCAGTGGAAGGCAGGCTGGTTGAAGTTGTTTTTTCTGCAGTCCTAACTATCCATTGAGATCTGTACCTGTCCTTTAAAGTTGTTAATAAAACTGTTAGATTGGAAGGTTTTCTTAGAGGTTTTCACAATGACTGTGTTACATTTATAAAACCATACTTTTCCCATTTTGGGATTTCCATCAAGAGAGTTCCCCATCTGTGAAAGAACAGGGCAGCGACAAAGAAGGATCCCATTGATTCAGGAGCTGACTGGATCTTTGTTCTTGCTCTGTCCAAAGGGCAGCAAAAGGTCGGAGGAGGGAGGAGGGGAGAGACAGACACTGGGATGCATCTTATTTACAGTTCTGAAACTATTGGAGATAGTAAGTTTCCTCGGTCTTTGCTAAGAATAATTGCAGAATGAGATGGTAATATATTTAACTGTTAGGAACATAATTAAACTTGTATATTTTTAAAATCAGTAATACGGTTCTGTAATTAGCCCTTTAAGACAGCAGTGGCAATGTATTTAAACAATGAAATAATAAACATGCAAAGGGTATTTATGAACCAAAGTAAACTGATTATTTAGATATACTCCTTAACTTTAAAATACTTATATTTTACTCTGTAATATTGGCTTCCTTTCAGTTCCCTCTCCACGTGCATTCACTCAGCTGCTGCTCTTCTTTACCCATTTACTTGGGCCCATACATACATCCCAGTGGTTCCAGAGAAACTTCTCAGTACAGTCTGCTGTCCTACACCATTTATGGTTGGGATCCAAAAGCGCTACTTGGCAGAGGTTCTGGATCAGCCTATGGAAGAGGTGCAGTCTTGCATGTTTCCAAAGATAATTGAATGGATCAAATGTTTGCTATGTCTCTGTCACAAACACCAGCACAAAGTTTGGCTGTGGTGATGTTTCTGTATGTTCTTAATGTTCCTAATCATCCCTATCAATTACATAGTCAACTACATGGGTTTTAAAAAGTTTAACATGAATGTTTGTATCTCCTAAAATTAATTTAGGCCTCACCTTTTGGTGATATCTTTATTTGAATTGGTACCCTAGATATTTTTTCAGTATAGATATTGCTGATTTGTTGTGCACCGAACTATTGTTTTTCTCCTCCCGAATGAAGGTATCAATCCATTAATTAGGGGGATCTCTATGGGATCCACCAAACCATTTCTGATTTTGAAACCCCTTTTGTTTTTCTCATCAGCTTTGATTGATAGATAGGTATGTACAGGTAGTCCTCATGCAGTAGCTGCCTTGTTTAGTGGTTGTTCACACTTATGATGGTAATAAAAAACTTTGCATCCATAATAAAAAACTTTTGCAATCCTTGCATTTATAATCTTTGCAGATCTGTAAAACAAATGAAAACTGAAATAAGATCATATTCACACTTGTGGTTTCAGTTAGCAATCTCTTGGCTTAATGACTAAGTTGCTGGCTCTAATTGTAGTTTCTAAATAAAAACTTCCTGTATATACATATATACATAGGTATGAGCAGTGGTGTGATGAAGCTAACTTGCAAGTTGGATGTCCTAATAATAATAATCTTATATTGCCTTTCCTACTAGATTAAATAAGGCATGCTCCATATCCCTTGCCTGAAATCTTTAGCCCACCCCACATTGTTATAACCTTAGGCCCCATCGAAACCTGCCTGTTTACCCAGACATTGGAGTAGTGTGGTGGAAGCCGGTGAGTGGTTGTTAGGGCAGCAGTCCCCAACATTTATGGCTTGGTGGGCCAATGTGGGGATATAGATGGGGAGATGGAAACTGACCCATGCAAGAGATGGGCTGGTACGTGTGCGTGCACCGGTGTTCTACTCGAGTGAGTCGCCGGTCTGCCACGCACGCAGCTCGATCCACATGAGCAGCGGCCTGGTGCGAGAAACCTGCTGCTTGTGAGAATTGAGCTGTGCATGCCTATGCTGGCATACTGCTCATGTGAACTGGCTACGGCCTGGTTGTGGGTCATAGCCCAGGGGTTGTGTTAGGCCACTCTGGGAGGATGATTAACACACTGGGCTTTTAGTTTTTGTCATATGGTTTTTGTGGTTTACTGTTGTGAGCCACACAATTTAAACATGAGTGGCCCTACAAATTGTTTAAATACATAAATTGAAGTATTGCTTCCTTTTTAGGTGTTGCTTGTGGATCTGTCCCAAGGAGTATTCTTAAAAATGGTAGGTTCCATCCAAGTCTTATATTGTGACCACTTGTGGAACTTAGATCTGCACTTTAGGCAATGATGTAAAATCCATCCTGTTCAGTTTCTTCTCAGAATTTTAGCTCTGCTTTAATTGCTTGATTGCCACTCATTTTACACAGCAATGACTTGCAACATTCTTCTTCTGACAGCTTCCACCCCTCTTCCCCCTCCCTCCCTCCCTCTCCCCCCTCCCCCCTCTCACAAACACACCCCTGCCTATTTATAATAGCCACTAAAAGCTACAGGGCAAGGTTAGCAAAAATGAAGTGATATTACTAGAACTGATCAAGATAAAATTTTGTCCCCTTATTAGGGATTAGTTCTTTTAAAAATACAAAATGGGGAGATTAATCTTGTAGATTTGGCAATAAATTTGGGCACCATTATTTTGGAGCACCCTAGGGTAATTAAAATGAAGCCAGAAGCATATTCAGTAGATGAAATTTTCTATAGTCAGGGTTGAACTATAAAGTACTTGATGCCATCTGGGCTTGGTTGTTTGTTTGCGGAGATTTCATTATCCAAATAGGTAATGTTATCAGTGCTTGAGGAGGTTACTAAGTTAGGTAATATATCATGTTCTAGCAGATAATTAAGCTCAGAAAGCACCAAGACTCCATAAAATGAATGTGGTCTAGTCCTGATTTGTATTCTCTTGATATCTTTTCCTTATTACCTATTTTCTTCTTTCTTAATCTGGTTTGTCTCTCCCTCTCTTCAATATTTCTTGATGAATTCTGCTGACTTTACTTTGCTCCTGTTCTTTACCAATTTCAGGTTATGGCTGTCTCCTATTCTTGACTTGGGTTGCCTTGAAAAATGGGCTATTAATATTTCAATTGGCTAACCTCCCTTTACTTACAATATCATCGATCTGTTACTGTTTGCTGATGTTTCCTATGACATGTTTTATTTTCAAAAAGCTCTTCATCCTCATCATCTAAATTCCAGCTTGCCTGAATTCTTCTTGAATGTTCTATCAGGGTCAAGGGATAACTGTCCAGATGGCAGCCTATCTGTACCCCATACTAAAAATAGCTTTAGTGCATGGGGTGTCAAACTTGCTGCATCATGTTGCCATCACGTGACATATCACTTTTTTCCCCTTTGCGGAGCTGGGGTGGGCATGGCCTGTGCATGACGCATACGGCCTGCGGGCCGCCAGTTTGATATCCCTGCTTTAGTGAGTTAACAGTAAGACCAGTTTCTTCTTGAGTAGGCCTCCAGCTGTTGTGAGAAACTGGATTTTTCACTATGGTACAAGTGCTAATTTGCAACAATTGGCTATTGATGTAACTTCCCTCTTTAATAATTCTACAGGTTGGAGATGAGGAGGAGATTTTGCCACCCAAGTTGAGAAGTGAAATGTTGCACTCTTTGCCAACAATGAACAACAACATCCAGAGTAAGGTCATTCTCTGTACCAGCCTTGCCTAGCCTATCTCAGATCACCTAATACCCCTCTAGTGTGGCTGTTGGTTGGGGACTTGGGAAGAAACACAACATATTTGAAGGCATTGGGTTGGAGGAAGATGCTTGAAGCATAGAAAACAATGAATTTTAATAAATTTGTGTGTATGATAAGATTCGTGCTTTGTTTGCTAACATAAAAATAACTCTTGGAATAAATAGTTCACTGTTAAAATATGGAGTAGAACATTATATGTGTAACTTGTGTTTAGTATGCTGTATGGTTTCACTTTGGGGGATGCCCTGCTAAGAATAATGAAAGCTTTCTGACGAATGTTAGTCAGCATCTTCTTTGTATAAGGAAAAACGTTATATGTTATCAGAAGTGGCTGTAGATTGCCAAGTTCAGGAAAATTTTAAAAAATGTGTGGCACTGAGAAAATGAAAATGTAATTATACTAGCTGCATAAAAGAAGTATGTAGCTTATTTGTAAAGAAATATTGTAGAAAATTGTAAACTGAAATCACAGGCTGTTATTTTTAAAAAGGATCCTAGCTTTATTTAAATCTCATTATAATCCTAACAAAAAAAAATTGTGCTTGAATAATTAAAATGTTGGCCTCAATCAGTAGTAGATAATGAACAAAGGAACTCATATGTTACCTTTTTCTTTAAGAAAGAAACTGAAGAAGCTTCTTGGATGAGAAGCAAAACAAAGACAGGAAAAACAAAGAAAGTCCAGTTGCCTCTTGAAAAAGCACATTTTGGTTTAAGAAAGCAAAGAGCTGTGATGTTAGAGATGTGATGTTATCTTGTTCTGACATTGTTCTGGTTCCATGTGATGGTTCATGGTTTGATTACGTGAGGGAGTCCCGTGATGGCGAACCTATGGCACATGTGCTGGCACGCGAGAGGTCGCCCGGAAGAGCCCCACTGCATATGCACGTGCACCGCCTGCCCACCAGCTGATTGTCGGGAATCTGGCACGCATGCGCAGGGGGCGGGGATGCATGGGAGATGCGGGGGGCGTGGGGTATCACAGGGGGATCACGTGCACATGGTGCAGGGGGATTGCGTGTGCATGCATGGGGGGGCATGCCCCCCCACGTGCATTGCCTTCTGGGTGCTGGCATGCAAGCACGGGCACACACACACACAATTTTCAGCACCGGAGCCCAAAAAGGTTAGCCACCACTGTGCTAGTCCATTGCTGAGAAGGAAACATGATTTTCAGTTGGTATCTAGAATTTGAATGATGAAACCAAAACATTGTTGACTAAACAGTACCCTAAAGCACACCTTTTCTTGTGCAGAGAAATTGAAAGATACAAGTTAGAAAAAGATAGTGTTGTAGTTAAAATAGATAGACCTATCCGTTGGGTTAATAGTTTTGTTATCACTGAAGAAAAGTCATCACTCAGAGTTTGTTCTGAGATACTTTATTGAAGGTATAGCAGGGTAGTACTTTTTCAGTTCCTGCATTGTTGGAGGTCAAAAGTCAAAAGTGATTATTCTAGATTTAAAAAGATAAGGATTGGAACATTAATTTAGATTAATCATCTGCATCATGTTCATTTACACTTGACAGGTACTTCCTCAGCTACCAGATTCAGGTAGAACTGGTCTATCTATCTGTTTTAAAGTAATATTAACAGAGCCACCTTTTGCATGACAATAATAGTGATTAGAGCAGTGGTAAAAACACATTTTTCTCAGTATGTGAACTGTCTCTATGTATTTCACTATCCTCAGAGATAAAACAGCATCCAACTGTCTTTCCATTGAGAAAGACAATCAAACTAGACTTTTCTGCAGAGCATTTAAGGCAGGGCTGTCAAACTCCCAGTCCATAGGCTGGAATGCCTCAGTCACTGGCTAGTTTAGCAAAGGGGAAAAAAGTCCTGATAGTCATGTGACACCGCTGTGACGTGAGTTTGACACCCGATTTAAGGGGTAATGCTGTGAATTTTATTGAAGATTTAGATATCATTAGAGTATTGAGTATTAGAGTATGTTGAATTTTTTGTTTGTTTTAGGTGATGGATGTTATTCGTGTTCTTTAAACTTTGGAAAATCTATGTGGAATCAGTTGTAGCACTGTAAGCACTATAAATAAATAGATAACTTTTCACTAAAGTAATAAGGTAAATATTTTAGTCTTTCCTTTAGTGTATTGCTGAAGTGTTTCAGCAGAAAAATTATGAAATGTTTGATGACATAGTTGATGCTCATTTTATTTTAGATATTATGAATATAGCTTTCTCCATGTGAGAAGATCATGACATACTGAATGTAGTTATGGAAAGAACCCAATAGGAGAGTGATAACTTTAACTTAACTAATATTCAGTCTCAGGTGAATGAGATACATGAGCATTTCATCAGAAGTAATTAAAAACTTAAGGTTGAACTAATATGCCATTAGTGGAATGCTCAGATTTCTTGCACAGTATATTCCCAATGAAGCAGAAATAACAACTCTATTGAGATAACAGCTATATAATAATACCATATGGCAATGATTTGTAGATTAAGATAGGGCATTGCAAGATGTAAAAACAATATTGTATATAGTAAAATGTTATGATCTTAGAAAATCAGTTATTCAGTCAGCCATATCTAAGAATGATTAGATGCTTGCTTTCTTTAAAAAAATACATTAAGAAATTTGACTGAAGCAGAATAAAGTATGCCTAGGTAAGAAAAAATTGCCACTGGATCTAAGATATATCATCAATGTTCCTGATTTGAATTGTCAAGCCATGGATGATCTAAAATGGTTTTACAGACCCTTGGGAAGGTGGGGGCTTATTCAATGTTCAAAATAAAACATTGACCTCACATTATATTCAGTCTTGTGAGAAATTTATTTAGTCTTTACTTTAAACATCTAAGCCATTCTAATGGTACTACTCAAGTAAACACCTGTAATTCTAAATATTGATTTGGGTAATGAAATCAACTAATCTACCCTTATACTTGATGGAGAACTAAAAGACTAAATAAAGACTAAATTAGAACCTGTTTTGCAACAATGACATTGGTCTATGAAAGATTTAATTTCTGTATAAGGTATTTAGTGATGGCTGGGAGTAAGATTATTGCCCATAGTAATATGAAAACAGAAACGCTTAGTTGCTTTCATAAATGACATGAAGAGTTACAGTATGTGTCAGTAATTGGGAAACCATGCATTTAGCAAAGATGACGCACTATGTAGAAAATGTGCTGAACAGCACAAGCTCTGTCTAGAACAGAGGCCAAGTAACAAACAAACAAAAAACATTGTTGTTTCATGAAATATTACATGTGTCATGATGTCAAAATAGCTGATGCCATTTGTTAGTTTGGTAGACAGACATAGTTGCTTTCAGTGAATTCAGGAAAGAATTTGTCAGATAAGTCAGCCTTGTGTATTTTAAAATTGCAGATATATTTGCAAGTTATATATTCTACATCATACTGTATGTACAGATATTCTACTTTGCCAGTAGAAAAAAACAGCATAATTTAAAAGGTTCAAGATACCCTCAGCCAAATTGAATGACAGTAAGCAATTGAACAATAAATAAATGAATAGTATTTTATGAAACTGTAAGGAACAGGTAAGAAAGTTTGTTAAGTTTTAGTGGAGGTTTGGAATAGAATGTTGATTGGCCTGGAGTGCTCCCTGGTGTAGTTTTTGATGGGCTACATATTGAGGACAACCCCTTTGTCTGTTCAACCTAAGATTCTTAGGGACCTGTTTACAGGGAAAACAGAGAAACTGTTAAGATCAACAGCAAAGTTACTTTTACAGACTTTAAAGCATGAGACTGTTGCTTTGTGAATATAGCAAAAAGTTGTCACCGGACAAAAACAATAAAACCATAACTAGAGCAACAATTACATTATGTTGAGAATTCAAAAGGAAATAAAAATTGACAGAGAACCTCCAAGGGACAACTGTACAATCTCAAATTTAGGTCAGATAAATCTCGAATTGGCAAATAGAAATTGAAACTTAGCTGCAGTAGACAACCCACTGTATGGTTTCCAACAGCACTGGTTTCAGCAGTTGGCTCTAGTTCACATTTGCCAGAACCTGAAAGAGGTGAAGGTTTGGACAAGTTCCAGAACACCAAACTCAGAATTGGAAGTAACAGTGGTAGGCTAAACATAGGAGTGGATGCCAAATTCAATATCCTATCCATTGCCCAGAATAAAGATAGTTTAAACATATTTAAAGTATATTTTGATCCTATTTTAATAATATATGTAAATATATAGTTAATGGAGAATAATGTAATGTTAACCTTTCCTTATGGGGAATAATGAAAGTGGAAATATGTGGTATGTTTCTGATGTGTTAAGGATGCCTTTCAAAATAAATAGGTTATGTTAAAAAGTAGGGTGGAATAGTATATGTGCAGCTTGCCTTATGCTGTTCTATTTCATTTTTGGAGATTGCCTGCTAAGAATAAAAGTATTTGATGCATACCAAATGAGCCCTTCCTGTACTGCATCATGCCTACTTTAAAGGGAATTATTTGCATGTTTATCACATAAAATTATTTGCATCAAGCAAAGACTGTGGTGCAGACACCTAATTGACAGGTATAGCCTGACACTGCAGTTGAGCAGAAAGGCCAAATTATATGCCTATTTGATTGTAATCATGCCACTGTGGAATTCATTTAACAAATTAACCTGTATTCTGCCTGATACACCATCTAAAGCAAACTTCACATCCTGACTCACCTACACATTTCTCAGCTATCAGGGAGAGTATTGTAGTATTCTCTTGCATGTTCATAGACAGACCATTAATAAAAAACAACTGGAAAAGCCTCCACATTAAGCTGAGAAAAAAAAGAGTTCTGACACGAAAACAATGCCACTGTTCAGATTTCTATGTCATTGTGTTCCATTTCTTTCCAATAAATTTTGTTAAAAGGGAACTCTAGGAAACTCGTTTTCAGTTTTAGCCAGCTACCTGGAGGCTGGCATTAAATAAGAGGGAGATGTAAAATATAAATGTTCATGCCATTTCCCTATGTTTTATAGGCCCAGGAACTTTTGGGCAACACAATAAATGAGGCATTAAGTGAAGAAAAATTCAAACATGAAATAGAATGTATTTGTGACATTGGTTTTTCAAATTCATTTTCTAATCACTCAGCTTTACTTCTGATAACATCTCGAGTCTAATCCATCCCAGGACAAGTTATTTGTAACATGTAGTATAAAATGCAACTCTCCTGCTGCATATTTGCCATTTACGTGGTGAAGGAGAATGATAAAGATATCACCAATTCATGCACCAATTCATACATAGAGGTTGAATCATGAGAATAGCTTTTTATGTTTAATTATTAGCTAGAATAACTATATAATGATGGTTTGATTTGTAGCTTAAAATTAAGCCTTAGTTATAGAACCAATATCTCATGATGTTTTCTGGAAAATTTGTTGCAATGTTTTTCTTGAAATATGACAGAAAGAGTGAATTTGTAGAATAAGAGCCTCGGTGGCGCAGTGGTTAGAGTGCAGTACTGCAGGCTACTTCTGCTGACAGCCAGCTGCCTGCAATTCGGCAGATCAAATCTCACCAGGCTCAAGGTTCACTCTGCCTTCCATCCTTCTGAGGTGGGTAAAATGAGGACCCAAAATTGTTGGGGGCAATATGCTGATTCTGTAAACCGCTTGGAGAGGGCTGTAAATCACTGTGAAGCAATATAGAAGTCTAAGTGCTATTGCTATTTCATGGCTGGGGTTAATAAAATTGGAAGGCTTTTAATCTTTTTAAAGCTAAATCATTTTTCTACATTATAAGCAAACTAGCAAAATCTTTCTTTTGCAGTCATGTGCTTATTCATATTAGTACTTTCTTAGCTTTTTAATCTGAGAATGACTTGTTCCCCGTCTCCTACCAGATCTCCCGATGCCCATCACCACTATATGTTTTGGCCTGTCTCTATACCCCCAATGGCAGCCGCATTTCCAAAAACTAGGCCCCTCAATCCTTACGACTGGAAGCTTCAATTATCCTCAACAGCTATTCAGGCATTCTGAGGCACTTTAGCTTCACTAGATTGTTGTTGTTAATGAACGGGTATAATGTGCTGATTAAAATGTTAAGACTGTATATCTCATTGAAAAGGAAAGGGCGACTAGTTTCACAATTCTAGAAGCATTTTAGGCATTGTACACAATTTTTTATTTGATGGCACCTATATGAGGCATTCTAAATCTGCTTCCATGTGATAGCTGTGTCAATGTCCTAGTTAATGTGGTTTATGCAATTTGCTGAAGTAGCACTTCAGGTTTTAAGATAGGGAAAATATTTCTATTGATATGCATTATCTCCTCTTCTTTTTCAAGCATCTGAGGAATTCAATACACAAGTCTCGGACACCTTTATACAATTCTTTGTGAAGATGATTGGTCACTATCCAGCACATATCAAATGGAGCAGAAATGGCACAGGCAGTTTCCAAGAACAATCATTTTGCAAGGCTATCACCTCAAAGACCAACCGCAGATTTGTGAAAAAATTTGTTAAGACTCAAATGTTTTCATTATTTATTCAAGAAGCAGAAAAAAGCAAGAAGTGCATAGAAGGTAAATCCCTAATGGCCATGTATTATTATTTTTGCCTTGACAGTACATTCCAACCACAAAGAGATGATTCCTCAGCTAGCAGAAACTCAATAGACTGAGGATAGGTGAGCAAAGCTAAATATGCCAAGTGTGGGATGAGGTAGTCCCTTCCAATCCTTTTCCCCCTATGTTCTATATATTTATTCTTATCTTATTGAATGCAGACATTCACATGGCCAGGCAGTCTACATTAGCCATTGCTTCCTAGTGGTTATAGAAGTCATATTTTTTAATCAAATAAATATTGACCCATGGAATATTTTCTTAAAGTCATGTGTAAGTGATTGTAAGTGATATTTACATGTTCCAGACATAATAACTAATGCACCTTTTCTTTTAACTGCAGGATATTTTCAGCAGAAATTAAATGAATATCAAGAAGAAAAGAAGCACAGGAGACTCTCCTGAATCTTTGCTTCATAAGAGAAGATTGGTCCTTTGGAGATAGGCAGGTCTGAAACTGATCATCTACCTGGATTAGGTCCATAGGTGAAAGATACCGTTGGTATTATTAGCTGTCCTGGTAGTACCTGTGCTTTGTACGTAAACCATGAAAAGTCACGGGGAGCCTTGGATACTGTTTTCTATATTTTCCTTTTTCTTGTGGCTGGCATTACATGCTGCTGGTTACTTGCCTGAAATTTTGTAGTCCAACTGACAATCAAAGCTGCAGTTCCACAGAATGAATGGCAATATAAAAACTGTATAATGGAACACTTCTAATAGGGTGTTGATAATAGGGTTCTAAAATTTTTTTAAATTTTTTGTCAGATACAGTAAACAATGCATAAGAGAGAGAATGCACTGGAAATAATGAGACAATTACATTCATTGAAAACATTTTTATTCTCATTAAACTGGTTTCCAGGCCAAAAATCTTATGTTGAATGTTTGTACTTGATGCGATTATAAAATGGATGTTAAATTGTTACATGAATTCTATACTTTGTTTATGTTTTAAGAAGCAATGCTTGTCCCACTATCACATGAAATTTCTCCTACTAAACAATTTAAAGGAGGGAAATAGAACCACAATATTAAAGAATGACTTGAAGAGCATAAGAATAAAGAAATAGAAAAGCAAACAGATTCCCAGTTGATTTTGTAAAGGAGGTTGTCCACCCAATTTTACCCATTCCACCACTATAAAATATAATCAATGAATTGGGAGACACACATTCTTGCACTGAATGTTGGGGATCCAGGAGAATAAGCAAACCCGAGGATGCTATCTTTGAGGGACTGTTGCTGTTCCCTAGCATCATAAGAGGCATTGTAGTGTCACAGTTAGAACAAGTAACTGCCAATGAATAGTTACTCAGACATATTTGTTCCTATTTGAATGAATGAAATTCTTAGGGGCCTAAATCTTGGTGAATTTCCAGTGCTAATTTGGAAAATATTAATCAAAGCTATCATTTAGCTAGGAAAAAAATCAACGATTTCCTACATCTAGTGTTCATTTCCAGGATGGTTGACCATACATCATCCTCCAGATTTTTAGTAACTTCAACGATCTGATGGTTAGCTACATTAGTTACAGATGGTAAGAACTGAAATCTAATACAGTTGAATAGTACTAGGTTGCTTAGTTTACCTTTAAGTTCTTCTTGATATGTTACAAATACTAATATAGACACTGAGTAGTTGGTTCCAATATAATATAAATCTGATATGTAATAGTTATCTCAGGAGCTGTAGATTTTGCATACCTTTTCTAAAGATAGAAAGGTTGTCTTTGTTCTCCCTGAAATATTCTGTCACTATGCTGAAATAGAGAATGCAAGTAAAGGATTAGCTTGGAGAAGACTGGATCAACCAAATCTGCTATCTTCCAATTTCCCCAACATGCTTTGCCTCAAGAATAAATAAGTAGTACCATATCTTTACAACAGGTGGAAAATATTTTAAAAAGCAGTGGGAAGGGGCAATAGATGTCCCTCTTGCATAAGTTCAGCAGAGTTTAGGATTTGAGAATGTGAGGCTTGGTTTGGTTTGTCACATTGTTTTGTTGTATACCAATTATTGCTATCTTCAGTTCAACAAATGTATGTATAAAGTTGAACATCATGCCAAATATAACTACTTTTTCAGAAGTTTTTAATAAATTAATGAGAATGTGCAAGTCATGTCTGCGACAGGACAAGCTATCAAGCTTATATAGTTACAGGAAAATTCACTCAATATGCTATTGCAATGTCTTTATAAAGTGTTCAGGTTCTTCAGCTAATGAACTAACTTCGAGTTGCCATGAAATACAGTGCTCTATTCACAATTATATCCAAATTCTTTTATAGACAGGAGAAAAACTGCCATCTGCAACAAGACAATTTAATGTACAACGGGGGGGGGGGGGGGGGTGTTCCCTCCACCCAAATATTTTTTAAGATAAAAAATACAAGAAAAAAAGAAAACATAATTATCTAATTATATCTCTACCTACCTACAAGCATGCCATTAAATTGACTGCACAGAACAGTATAAGCAGTCTTTCCACTACATTGACAGAGGACGAATTACTAGCAATAGCACTTAGATTTCTATACCGCTTCACAATGATTTACAGCCCTCTAAGTGGTTTACAGAGTCAGCCTATTGTCCCCAACAATCTGGGTCCTCATTTTACCGACCTCAGAAGGATGGAAGGCTGAGTCAACCTTGAGCCGGTGAGACCTGAACTGCCAAACTGCTGCAGCCGATGATCAGCAGAAGTAGCCTGCACTACTGCATTGCACCACTGCAGCTCCTGCATGAGTTCTAAATAGAAAGGTATATTATATTGGCAGTCCCGGACTTTAAATCCCACCAACTTTGCAATATAGTATTGAAGAGTAACTTTTTGGCTGACTGTCCTTCCACATGCTTATTAAAACCATAAATCCAAAGTTTTTGTATATAATTCAGAGTCACACGCACATCTTTAAATACTGTGATCTTTGTAATGTTATTAGTTCACTTAAGGATATTAAATGAAAAGAAGGCAGTAGTGAACATCTTATCATATAAATAAACTTTTCCTCGGGCCAACAGGCTTGTCCAACCCGCGGCCCACGGGCCGCATGCGGCCCAGGTCGCCTCGTAATGCGGCCCAACGCCCACCCCAACCTTCATGAAAGATCCAGCAAGGAGGAGGAGGAGAGGCAGGCGCGAGGCGGGGCGAGGCGAGCAACAGAAAAGGCGGGCAGCCGCAGCCCAAAAGTCCCGCCCCGCCACCTCCTGCTGTTGCCGCCGCCGCTGCTGCTTTTGCCCCTGCCGCCGCTTCTGCCCCCCCGCCGCCACTGCTGCTTTTGCCCCCGCCACCGCTGCTTCTGCCCCCGCCGCCGCCACCGCTGCTGCTTCTGCCCCCGCCGCCGCCGCTGCTGCATTTGCAGGAGAGGTAGGCGCGAGGCGGGCGAGCTTTCTTCCCCCCCTCCCCCCCGCAAAATTTGGCCGGAAAATTATAAAATAAAAAATAAATAATTTTTAATAAATAATAATAAATAATAATTTTATTTTATTTTATTTTATTTTATTTTATTATTTTATTTTATTAATTTAATTTAATTATTTAATTTAATTATTTAATTAAATTATGTGCGACCCAAACCAAATTTTCATCTTCTAATGTGGCCCAGGGAAGGTGAAAGGTTAGACACCCCTGGTTTAACCCCTTCTCTTCGTTGTACACTAAACATGAAATGTTTGCTGAATTAGTCTGATCCTAAGATGAGAAATACACAATATTTTTTGGCCCTTAGCCATTGCTTTGTAAGATGGGATACTCCAGTTCTTTGTTAGACTTTTTTTTAAAAAAATATCTGCTATCCAGCTTTATTATACAGTACTCTTTTAATTGTTAAAGAATATTATTGACTTATAATTATTTGAAACACATCCCAGTACTGACAATAACTTATGAATTAGGTGTTGCTAATGTCTCATGTTAAACTGTCAAAATTCCAAGAAGGTTTAATTGAATACACAATAAAATCTCAATACAAAATGTTCCCAAGATGCCAATGAAGATTCTCCTTCTCTTGGGATTTGGTGTTCATTTTGAACTGTTTCTTCTTACTAAAACAATTGTTCTCTTTTGAAGATAGCAGACAGCAGAAGGGTAGGAAGTAACCCAAGATCAAATACTTATGAATATGTAGGATAGTGAATCATCTGTTATTTATGAATATATATGCTTGCATCATTGTTCCCCTTTCCTGAAATGTACAATTATCAGTGCATCTCTTTTGCTTGCAGGGTGACACTTATTTTGGTGGGGTCCCATAGTGTATGTACTATTTATGTAAGAAATACTGCAATGAGCCTTATTTTGAGTCTGGGGTTTTGATTCCATAATGCTAATATAGTTCAACTGCACAAATATACTTTAACAGTTCAAATTAATAGTTTGCTCATTGATCAAAACATAAGAGCACAAGGATTATTATAGTTATGAGAATTTTCATTTATTAAACAGAAATATTTTTGCATAAATTTTATACAAAAAGTAACTGCAAATTTTGTATAGACTTTCCACTGGAAAAAAAAACCTGAAAATTTATTTTAAAGTGTTTATTTTAAAAAATAAATTGACAGATAACACACTATACTGCATGCTGACAATCATCCCACATCTTAGGGGACTAGGGTTAGATTTTTAAAGACAAAAGATGTAATTTATCAAGCACAGTGGCTGTGTACAATGTGCAATGACAAAATGATCAGCCACAGTGGATTGCTTCCAAAGATAGCATTTCAAGATGCCAGCTTCCAGAAACAATGCAAATAACATGAAGTATCTGTTTTCTTAAAAACTAACCACAGTTATCAGCAACTGGTGATGAATCTAGGCTCAAGTCCAAAATATTCCAGCTACCAAAGGTAGTGAGATGCCAGAGTCTCTCAAGGCAATTAATAATTATACTTTTGGGACAATATTAAATGAGCACTTTAAAGGATAATTAAAAGCAAATAACCTTATAGCTTGTAAATACACTATTAGAAATTCCTGTTCTTAGGAATCCATTTATCTGAGAGCCTGGTTTATTGTCAAGGTAATTACAATGACAAAGCCTTATTCTCTGCATGCTTCTCTAGGTATACAACCATGGACCTGATAATATAGACGTTTGGAGAATACTTGGGTTTCTCCTTTTGTTGGTGGACTGTCTAACTAGGAAGTGTCATCCATAACAAAATTAGTTATACAACATTATTATAAATTAGATTTGTTCCTATCTGCTCCAGTTTCTGTAGACTCCTTAATATAACCACATTCTCTCTTGTAGAAAACAGCTACTAGTTATTGCAACAACCTAGTGATGATTTGAATACGTACTGTAGGTCTTGATCTTAAAGACACTGATGTGAAGATGGGAAGCAATTTGATTGCAGACACTGACACAATATCGGAGTAAATCAAAAAGAGAAAAAATCTGAAAGGATAATATAAACACATATGAGATTTGGACAAAAAAACCTTTCACACCGTTTATTCTTTGTGTTTTCAACCCATGATTTTAAATATGAGGATCATATTTTCAATAAGATTTTATCTTGTTGAGATTGGAGAAATATTTTTTTCTGCTTTTTAAAGCAGAAGTGGGAGCTGGGAAAGATCCATTCCCCTAGCAGCCTAAGCTAGAGGGCAGGGCAGGCATGTTCCTAAATGATGTACTTCCATGTCGTCATTTCATGCAAATGGAAATAAAGCCTAACTAGGGAGGAATGAACCGGTTTAGTTTGCCCTTTTGCAACTGGAATGCTTGCGAGATGTCTCTGCCCAATCTCACCTGCCTTATATTTTCTCAAAAGGAGAAAGTCCCCAACATTCTTGTTCCAATGCAGCTGTGGAGATCTTAGGACCTATGACTTCTTCTATTGGAGATATGGGATTCTTTAATATTCTAGGCTAGAGAATTTCCATCATCAATACAAAAACATTAACTTTTTCTTAAACATGGGCACAGGAGTGCAAACCTATTTGAAACCCCTTATCATTCAAATGAATATATCTTTCACGATTTGGTTATAACATGGACAAAATATGTCAACAATTGTCCTGAGCACTTTGGAGAAAGGATAGGTTAACTATGCAGTAAATGAAATGTGTGACATGAAAACTCCAATGGTATCAGTGATTGAAATATCAGAGTAATTATCAACACTTTAATATCAACATAATCTTAAAGAATAAAAAATAAAGAATTTGAAAAATCACTAAAAACTAAAGCCCACAGGAAAGAGTGCATTTTAAAAGCATAACTGACAACATGGCTAAAATGAATTATATTTCCTTAAAATGCCAATATTTTATTGAGAATATGAAGGTAACTTTAAAATGTCATATCTCTTTAGAAACACTGGCTTTTAAAAAGATGAAAAATATGGATTATTTTTCCAATGCACATAGCCAAAGGAAAAGATTGATACCTGTCTAGGATACTTAGCTGTGATTTCTCAGTATAACTTTTTCAGACTACTAGTTCAGCAGAATACAAATGTGTTTCTATTGTAAAAATTCTCTTTTTTCCAACTACAGATGATACTACTTTATTGTGCAATTTAAAACACCAAACCATTTGTCGTATTCCGCTGTGGGTATTCTGTCTAGGCATGCTCCAGAGATATTGAAAATTATACTGGTTTGTTTCTGGGTGCACTTCAAAGTTCTGGATGCTTCCTGAAAGCTTTACATGACAAAAGGCCCTGGTATTAGATGGTTTGGCTGTCTCCCTAATATCTGGTGTACTCTGGGTTCCTTCAATTAAACAATGTCATCTCTCAGTACCACAGAAGCATCCTTTCTGTATAGTACTGCCTGCCCTTAGGAACACAGTTGCCCTTAAGATCCAGATGGCTCCCACTTTGCTGTTGTTTAGAAGAATCATGAAGACCTGGTTTTTCACTTTACTTTATTGCACTTGCCATCCTTTTTTTTTTAATCTATTACTGATTTTATTATACTTTTTTTGTTGCTGTTGTGAGCTGTCCAGAGTTGTTGAGAATGGGTGGCATACAAATGTATAAATAATATAGTAATAATTATGAATCAAGTGTTGTCAATAGAAAATTGACATGTATCTTAAAAAATCACTTGCCACTTACCAAGGCAATCCAA